TAACCACTAGGCTACCCGACCGCCCCGTTCCGAAGAATGTCAACAGTTTTTCCAATATCACGGCGTGTCTCCTTGATGTGGGAGGCAAAACCGGAGTCTTGTAGGTCTGAGAAGTTAAGGAATGGTGCTGATAATTCTAGAAATATACAAGTATTCAGAACGAATGCACAAATATTCCTGACATTTCTCAGGCATGAACCTGCGTTCAGCGAACTGTGGGTCTGTCTGTACTCCTTGGAGTTGGGGGCGGTCGGGTAGCCTAGTGGTTAAAGCGTTCGCTCGTCACGCCAAAGACCCGGGTTCGATTCTCGACACTGGTACAACGTGTGAAGCCCATTTCTGCTGTTCCCCACCCTGATATTGCTGGAATATTGCTAAAAGCGGCGTAAAACCAAACTCACTCACTCACTCCCTGGAGTTGTTTCTTTGTGTGTTTGTTTAACGCCGCACTCAGAAATATTCCAGCTATACGACGGCGGTATCGAGTGACTGACATCATGAGCATCGATCTGCATAATTGGGATACGATTACACGCATCAACCAAGGTAATCGAGTCTGGTCCAGACAATCCAGTGACTGACATCATGATCATCGATCCACGCAATTGGGATCGATGACATGAATCAACCAAGTCAGCGAGCCTGACCACGCAATCCCTTTAGTCGCCGCTTATGGCAAACATGGGTTGCCGAAGTCCAATTCTAACCCGCATCTTCACGGGTATTAGCCTTATATATCTATATTGATGTCACGTATTATGATATGTAATCTGTGTGTGATGGAACCGTTACGAAACACAGCACGGGGAGTGTTAATAACATACTTTCAATCAAAATGAAGTGAACATTGGGACAATTGACTCCTGTCAGTCTCGTGACGGCTTTTCCAAGTTTAACCACATAACTTTAGCCGTTGAACGCGCACTGGTTGATATTAGGAGCATGGGTCTCCATAATAGGGAAATGATGACGTACACAACCACGTCAGCAATTTTAAACAATTGATCAAGCATAGGTTATGACATATGAAATTGTTAATTGAATGAAGGGGGGCACGGATGGCCAAGTCGTCTAAGGCGCCGCGATTCGCTGTGCAGAGTTGCGTCCCTTGGGCACGCCAGAAACCTATGATTGTGGGTTCGAATGCCGGTTCGCCCCGATTATGTTTCTAGGTTTGTCAGCACCATACCCGTGCTCGTGGGTTTTACCGAAGTGGTTAACGTCTAAGACTACATCACTTCGGGCTTTACTCCCACATTAAGCTGACACGCCGTGATATAACTGGAATACTGTTAAAAGTGGTGTTAAACCCAACTCACTCACTCACTCACTGTTGATTGAATGTATGGTTTGTGTTGTTTCTTTGTTTGTTTGTATATTGTTTAACGCCGCACTCAGCAATATTCAAGATATACTACTTAGTGAATCCGATATGTCCAGAAATAATTAGTTGTTTTGAAACTTTCGCATCAAGATCAGGAGTATCTACATTTCATTTTTGTCTGTTTGTTTCTACTAGAAATGCATATACATTTAAATTGCCAAATTGTCTTGACATGATGAGTATATTACTGATAGATCCTTTTGTATTGAACGTCGCGCTATGGCTGAAAGCCTTTGCGACGTAAAACTTCATATTTCCATTCCATTCCTTTTGTATTCCTGTTGTATGTTATACTACTACTGCTGCCACTGTGGTTATTACCACTGTTATTACAATACCTCTATTACATGTCAAGCATCATATTAGTTATCAAATAATTAAAAAATGCGCTGTACAGCTGTAAATAATATTGTTTATCTGTATGTGTATATGGGCCAATGGCCTTTCATACAATAAAGATTGATTGATTGATTGAGTGGCATTTAGAAGTTGAAATGGTAACTAAGACAACAAAATTATAAATGAGCAGCTTCTTTATTACAATTGGGCGGAGCAAATGATCATTTGCTTGATAATGGTGTAAGAAATCTACACCGAAACGTCGCCCAATTGTAAAAAAGAAGTTGCTCATCCATAACAATTTTGTCTTAGTTATAGAACAGAAAGGTGGTAAGAAATTCGATAGATGGCATAACAGCAGCATATCTCTCAAGCATTGTGCATGAACAAACCCTCTTCTTTCTCTACCCCAACATATTGCATAGCATGAAGAGAATGTATAACTTCATGCCCATCATTGTCCTGTCGTGGGGGTGAGTATTCCTCAAACTTTACATGTGAAACTTTAACCTAACTGTGATCTCATGTTTACGGCATTATAATGTCCCGGGGACACGGGTGACCCACTCGTCTAAGGCGCCGCGTTAACACGCTTGTCCCACTATACAAGATAGACAATATACAGATAGACAAGCTTTCATATGTTTCTCTAACATACTGGGGGCACAGTTGGCCCAGTCGTTTAAGGCGCCGCGATTCGCTGTGCAGAGTTGCGTCCCTTGGGCACGCTAGAAACCTGTGATTGTGGGTTCGAATTCCGGTTCGCCCCGATTATGTTTCTAGGTTTTTCAGACCTGCATCACTTCGGGCTTTCCTCCCACATTAAGCTGATACGCCGTGATATAACTGGAATACTGTTAAAAGCGGCGTTAAACTCAACTCACTCACTCATAATGTCCCGATTCTGTCTGTATATTATTATGATACGATGTGTTCTTTATACCAAAAATGCAAAAGGGCCACTTAAACTATTCTTGATTGATACGTCTAAACGTTTAGACCATCGGTGTGAAGCCCATTTCTGGTGTCCCCCGCCGTGATATTGCTGGAATATTGCTAAAAGCGACGTTAAACCATACTCACACACTCACTACAAACCATCGGGGACGGTCGGGTAGCCTAGTGGTTAAAGCGTTCTCCCGCCACGCCGGATTCGATTCCCGATATGGGTACAATATGAGAAGCCCATTTCTGGTGTCCCCCGCCGTGATGATGCTGGAATATTGCTAAAAGCGGCGTAAAACCATACTCACTCACTCACTTACAGACCATCGTCTGCAGCTGAATTAAGTGTCTCACGCTCAATCAATTCAAGTATATTTGTGAAAGGTAAATCTGTGGAAGAAAAAGTGTACGCGGACTCAAACTTATTGGCAACTCTTACTTACTAACTGAAATTGTGCACACCATCGATAGCACACAAGCGCCGCTATCTCAAATGTGTTTATCTGTTCAGGCATTAGGCATTGTAAAAGGGAGATAAGTGTGCTTTGGGTTCGGGTAATCAGGTAAAGTTTTGTAATCTGTCTTTCTTTGGATCGACGAGACAGAACTGACCTGTCGAAGCGGACATAAAATTCCCCGAAAGCCTTGCATTAAACCATGCATTTTCGTCACAACATTACCTCAGTGAGTTTGGTTGGTTGGTTTATTGTTTAACGTCGCACTCAACAATATTCCAGCTATATGACGGCGGTCTGTCAATAATCGAGTCTGGACCAGACAATCCAGTGATTGACATCATGAGCATCGATCCACGCAGTTGGGATCGATGACCGTGCATCAACCAAGTCAGCGAGCCTGACCACCCGATCCCGTTAGTCGCCTTTAACGACAAGCATAGTCGCCTTTTACGACAAGCATGGGTTGCTGAAGACCTATTCTACCCCGGATCTTCACGGGTCTCAGTGAGTTTGGTCTTACGCCGCTTTTAGCAATATTCCAGCAATACCGCGGCGGGGGACACCAGAAATGCGCTTTACACATTGTACTCGTGGGAGAATCGATCCCGGGCCATCAGTATGACAAGCGAGAGCTTTAAACACTAGGCAACCCCACCGTCCCTCATTACTCAGGGGGCCACGGGTGACCCAGTCGTCTGAGGCTCCGTGATTCGCTGTGCAGAGTTGCGTCCCTTGGGCTCGCCAGAAACCTATGATTGTGGGTGCGAATCCCGGTTCGCCCCGATTATGTTTTTAGGTTTGTCAGCACCATACACGTGCTCGTGGGTTTCATCGAAGTGGTAAACGTCTGAGACCTGCATCACTTCGGGCTTTACTCCCACATTAAGCTGACACGCCGTGATATAACTGGAATACTGTTAAAAGTGGCGTTAAACCCAACTTACTCACGCACTCACTCACTACCTCAGTGTTTGCTTATGCAACTCTATGGTGATAATCGTCTTAATCGTTCTCATTGATAAACAAGGCCTTATCAGATTCTCTAACACATTGTGCCACATTATATAACTTTACGACATTTATTCTTGGGAATACATGTGTATTCATTTCTCTTCCATTTTCTCTAGTTTGTTTGTTTTCTTTGTTTGTTGTTTAACGCCGCACTCACCAATATTCCAGCTATACGACTGTGGGCCATTTTCTCCAGACAAAAGCATGTGTAACTATGATGACGATTAATTCATTATTCAGAAATATCCACTCCTTAAGCTGCATTAATAGAAATCACAAACAATCCTACCAAAGACGATTTCTTTATTTACACGCTGGGGACGTCATTGGCCTCTTGCTCATATTGTGAGAAAGAGAAAACAATATGTATGGTGGACTTAATGTATACATATAAATTATGTTGTGTTAGAATGGGATACAACTGATTTACAAGTAATCTGACAGATTTGTATCTGACGGACTCAGATCAGATGATGTTTGTTACATCTGATACTAGTACAGTTTGATTTTATTTGTATATGTGATGGTTACTTCAGCTCATCGATATCATTGTGCTCAAAATACTTATTTTAGAATATTATTTTTTACTGAATCCTAGCTAACACATGTAAACTGCAAGTACCCAAACAGAAGGCTGGTGTTAGGTTGTTTTGTTGTTTTACGCTGCACTCAGCAATATTCCAGCTATATGATTGTAGTCTGGAAATAATCGAGTCTGGACCAGACAATCCAGTGATTGATATCATGAGCATCGATCCATGCAATTGGGATCGATGACATTCATCGCCTGATCCCGTTGGTCACCTCTTACGAGAAGCATAGTCACCTTTTACAGCAAGCATGGGTTGCTAAAAACCTATTCTACTCCGGATCTTCATTGGTACAAACAGTAGATAAATGTGAACAAAATTGACAAACGGATCAACTGAAGCATGATGTGTACACTTGGTACAGATGTCATGTCAAATGTGTTAGATAGACACAAACTGTTAGAAAAAGGCTGAAAAATGTTTATGAAAAATAGTAAAATTTCAATCATAAGACATAACTAAATTATTTTTTATTTATTTAAACCCACACGATTGTAATAAAAGTTAGAATAACAATATTGTCCATATGAGTAGGCAAGTCGTGTCGTGATGCGTTCATAAAATCCTGCTTAATGCATTGTAGAGCCTGTCGCAGTAATGTGCCCAAAACAAAATAAAAAAATTAACACTAGTCCATGCAATAAACAAACATATCAGATAAGATCAGATCAGGTGTGTATAGAAAGTTTCAACAATAATTTTAATGGATTTAGAGTCCTGCTCCTGAAACGGTTAACGGACGGACACATACGCATTTATAAGGTAGGTCACACTGTATCTGGGTCGCCACCTCAACATTATGTGTCGGTATCACTAAACAAACAAATACAATATTCATTCATACACAACAATCGGTATGTATGATACGTGTGTAAAGAGTGACTTCCGAGAAGAAAATGTCAAAGTTGGTGTCCAGTCACTGTTGTGAGAGAGTGAACGTTTAACATCGACTCGACGTTATTTCAGCCATACAGCTAGATCTATAGCATCCATAATGGCTGGAGTGGATCGAGTGTAACCGCTGCATATACTGTTTCAAGTCATCCTTCTGACATTTCTCCAGTTCACAGATTGCTTCATTTACCTTCTGACGAATCGTGTTCACACATTGTTTATTCTCTTGCACAGGCTCCCCATGTATGCATCCTATTGTCCTGAACAACTCTTGTCTCTCATCCATGATTTCTTGAGAGGAGCGAGTGTAACCGCTGCATATACTGTTTCAAGTCATCCTTCTGACATTTCTGCAGTTCACAGATTGCTTCAGTTACCTTCTGTCGAATCGTGTTCACACTTAGTTTATTCTCTTGCACAGGTTTCCTATGTATTTCTCCTATAATCCTAAACAATTCTCGTCTTAGATCATTTGCCTTCTCAGACTCTGTCCCAGTGTTGACATTGACAAGCACAGGTGGGTTGTGGCAGAACTTGAGGAAGTCTTTCAGGAAATTAGGAATGTTCTCTAGGTATTCCTTCAAAGTGATGTTGTCATCTAATGCTGTAAGAACCAGCACTATTTTATGTGACATGGACTTCCCCGCAATAGATCTGACATGTTTGAAGAGCAGTTCTTCGTCATATGTCATTGGAGATGCCTTCACGACAAGCAAGAAGGCATCAATGGAACTTGCCTTTTTCACCACCACATCGATTGTTGTCTGAATGTTCTGTTTATTGTGCAACGAAAATCCAGGTGTGTCCAATATTTGAATTGCTCTGGTACCAATTCTTGCGCGTTTCTCCTGACATACTGCTGTGGGTTTCTGTAATCCAGCATCGAATAGTTTCTCACCTGCAATTGCATTCGCAAGAAGACTTTTCCCTGTCTTTGGGTAGCCTATGAGCCCAACACTCACAGTTTCTGTGGGGGGTTTAACTGAAACAAATGTGCAGCAATTTACATTTTTTCTGTGTGTTGTATCTAGCTTCATTCAGCAGAAGTAAATGTACTGCTATCAATTTCCATCAGGAACCATCAGCGAACTATAGTTTACATTTTTCAAAAAGGTAAACTGATTCTGTGCCAAATATAGCCGTATCCATAATATTATTCATGGCAATTCACAACCTTGAATTGAAAGAAGCCATCTACAAGGGATTGAAGAAATTAGGATAAAAATATTCTTACGTTCACAGGCATGACGATAATCTAAGTGTTACTAACCTTCGTCACGTTCGTAGATCCTCCATATTGGAGTCCTAAGTGCCTTCAACGTGTCCTGAATGTCCTTGAACTGGTGACGTGTGGCAGCTACAATGATGTACTTGAACTGTGACCAGTCCTGACCAGACTGACGGAAGGAGTCAATTGTCTCGATGGTCCCTTCAGCTGGGACATGACTGAAAGATGGCATGTTCTTTACTCTCATATCTTAACACTTCCATCATGCAAAGATTATATGTTAGTATATGTGTTATTATTATGCACAGTTGAAGAAGTTGCAAAGACATCAGCACTAGCCTAAGTCTCTACACCTATTAATTGTGAAGAATACCTCCTAATGTTAGACTGCTTTAGCAGCCTCTGTGCAGATAATTCTCAATCAACGTAGTTATATTCAAACCTTTCAGTTTAATATATCATGCCTGATACAGTATTACAATAGCTCTGATGGAGTATATTAAGTATGTTGTCTGCAAACCTACTTTCGTTTGGTCTTTTCCTCCACGCTGTCATAGATAAGCAGTGTTTTACTACTGCGTTCTAGTCGTAGGGCAGCTTCCAACATGAACACTGTTTTCCAATGAAGTGTTTCAGATACATCTGATGGTTGGCGCAGATCAACATTGTTAAGTAACTTTGAAAACTGTTCTTTCATCAAAACCCAAAACGATCCCTTTCCCCCCTCTTTAGGTGCCATAGGAATACTTGTTCTTGCAGCTGTAGCTGTTAAAGCATTCTTCAGCCCTTCAATTTTGAAATCGGTCATGTGTTTTTGATCAGGAAAACAGGATTCAATTACCATTGACTTTCTTGTATGGACATTGTGGTGAAATGGATTCTTTTTCAGATATATTTTCTCTTCAGTGGCCAAAAAGATGAAAGTGAACCTTTCTGCCGTGTATTTTCCAAATATCACCCTCATGCGATGGGCCAACTCAGCATTATATTTGTCAATAGCATCAACTGTTTCAGATGAGAAAGATATAACAAAAGGTAGGCACTTTTGTGTGATGATCAATACGTCACACTGCAAAACTTCAGGTGGTTTGTGACAAGGCAAGTTTAATGTTGTTGCCAGCGACCGACCAAATAAAGCAATGCCCCCTCTGTTGTATTCTAATAATTCAGCCACTCGTTTCACCACATGCGGATGTTCCTTCTTGAGGACGCCGACAAAGTTCACTGGAAGCATTGCTTGCTCTGTGTAAGTAAAGGTTTATAAAGTTATGTGTGTGTAGTTAAATATGAACAGCGAGCAGGCAAACCAACAGTCGTAAAGGGAACAAAACTAGCATTCGTAACCAAGACCAGCGCATCATAGCTTGACCAATGGTTGCACCGCACACAGTGAGTTACAGAGGCTTAGATCAGGGTGCCTTCAATGAAAAACATTCTTTTTAAATATATGAGCTCCTGTAAATTCGTCTGAACATGTAATATACATATTATGTAATAGAAATCATTGTGTCTGAACTCTTAATGTCACGGTTCATCAACCAACTTGACATCATAGAAATTAGACAAAAGGTTCGAACAAAATCGGCTTCATTTGTAACTGCTTTCTTGTGCAGCTAATGGTCAGTAGACCTAATGTGCAATGACATTGTTGAACTGTAGAGATATGTACAAGATTACGTCATATTATGTTGTTCTGAAATGCCACGCAGTGCTTTGAGAAACTTATAATTGGTAACATAATATATATTTACAGAATTACGGAATATCTGTGCTTGAATCTTGTAAGTATGATATTCATTCGCAAGAGTCTGTAAATACTTGTAAAGTGTTTATTATTCTGTACCTTGTGTAAAAAATGTCTGAGCATCATCGAAACTGTCACCAAGGTAGTAGGTAGTTGGAGGAAATGGATCACTGCATGCTAATTTCAGCTGGTGTATTTCAATGCCTGTATCTGATCCTGAAATTAACAGTATCATCATATCTATATGATACGGGTCCACATTTATAAAAAAATAGAAGTCCTCGATAAGCAGGCACATGTACAACTAGGATCACTCTCCCCTCATGAGGTTCTGTTTTGATGCTGACTGATTTTGAATAGTTTTGCAACCATTTCCTTCTCAATCTTCTCCTTCAGAAAGGCTTCCACGTTTCCTGTTGGTCCGTTAGGAAGAGGAATGCCTCTTGTTTCTGAATATTTAGTTTGATATCGTTTGAGAGTGGTTCTGGCGACAAACGTTTTTCATAAAATTGTTCTATCACAAAGACAAAAGATAGAAGAAGAAAGAAGTTCCGTCATTGCCTAGTGGTGTTCAACTAACAATTCAGTTAGTTAAACCACGGTCAAAGACACATATAAATTAATGAAAGACGAGTAGTCAAAACACTGTCATTTCCTGCCCAGGACATCACAACCCTACACGCTAAGGTCGGTGAGAAACATTCTCATAAAAAAAAAAAACACAGTCAAGACCGTAGATTCCCGGCGTCTAGCTACAAATCCTGTAATGTATTGAAGGTTGAAGAATTTTGATCTCAACGCCAAAAAACGCAAACTCGACACACCCACTCCACCTCCATCGTCCACACCCTCCCCGGCTGCCTTCCTCACCACCTTCGCCCTCTACTTCTTCTCCGCAGGTTCAGGCACCACACTCACACACCAACTTTCAAAATAGGACTCTGGTTCAAACGAGAAAAGATAAACTACAGCAACATTAAAAAAGCCAACAAAGGATACCAAATTATTTTCCCTAACCAAGAATCCTTAATGGCAGCCAATAAAATAAGTCAAATATTCAACGTTACCATAATCAAACAAAAACCAAACTGGCAGCAATACACACGAGGCGTAATTAGAGTCAATCAAAGTGAAACAACTGAAGATTTAGAACTTTACTCCCTAGCAGCAAACATAAACCAAGACCTAAACCCTCAACCTCAAATCACAAGTACCCGCAGAATCACCTCAACGGTCCCAACCTCAATTGTTATCATCAACTTCAAAAAGACCGCTAGATTTCCCGAAGCCCCTTAACACATATCTGTCGGAGCCCACACTAACTTAGAAGTCAAACCCTATATAAAACAGGTCAAACAATGTTCCAACTGCCTCAAATATAATCACACAGCCTCCCAATGCACATTTCAAAAAACTAAATGTAAAAAATGCGCACAAACAGACTGCACAGGCACATGCTCACCCTGGTGCATCTACTGCAAATCCATCAAACACACCTCACTTTCAAACCAATGCCCACACACCCTCACCCAGCAGGCCAACAAACACATTAACATAGAAACGGCCAAAATCCAAATACGAAAATTTGCATCACCCGCATCAAAACTACTTCTCCCTACACCGCACCAAAACACCATCCCTCAAACAAAAACCACACCCATAACCGCAAGCTCTGTCTGGGGCGACGACATAGAAACCGCACACACCTCACACACACATGCAGCCATACAACTACCCACCAACTCTCCCATACCTCACATAGCCACCACATCAACACCCGCATGCAAAACAAACCACAAAACGACCACCACAACACGACCCTCACCCAAACACTCTAAAGCCCACAAGGCAACAACATTCACCCACAAGCAAGCACAAAACAAAAAAACAACACTAAATCCACAGCTACGCCCACCCCGCAAGCCCACACACAAACCTCCACACCGCAAGCCACCCCTATGGAAACCCAAACAGCTAAATCTAACTTAACTGATGAAGAAGAGTACTCCACAACAGAAGAAACAATCGAAGCTACTCCAACTAAAACAAATGAAACTACCTTCAAAAACCTAAATAGTCTCACTTTACTCCTAGCTTACATGCATAGTCAAAACTCACCAAACGCAACCATGCAATCCTTCCACAAAGTAGCATGCATTCAATCTAAACTTAACCAATCTCCCCTTCTTCCTCTTTAACCTCCACCTTAAAGAACTCACCAAGTAAAATAACACTAAAACCAAAATTACCAAACACCCGACCCCAATAATGGAAGGACTAAATATTTTTCAGTGGAACGCCAACGGACTCACCTCCCACGGCCATGAACTAAAAGCTAAATTTAAACGAGATAAAGGCCCACATATTGCTTGTATTCAGGAAACTAAATTCTCCAAAAAATCCAAATTCAGTTAGAACAGATAGAGCTAAACCAAAAACAGGTAGAGCCGCAGGAGGACTGATTATATAAATCAAGGAAGATATAAACTACGAAGAAATAAAGATAGACACGCCAAACCTTGAAGCTAACGGCATTCAAATCACATTAAATAACAAAAAGATAAACATCATTAATATATACCACTGGGTAGAACAAAAAGTCCAACCTGAGGATCTAAATAAGCTACTCCAAATAAGCAACAAATCCACTATATTCCTAGGAGACTTTAACGCTCACCATCCTACCTGGAGCATAAATGATAAAAAAGATAATCATGGCAAATTAATCTCCAAATGGATAGAAATAAACGACCTAGTACTCATAAATAACAACCAACCCACGATAAGATTAACCAAAAAATGTCGGCTATCGACCTAACTATATGCACCGCAGATCTAGCCCAAAGGACTCAATGGGAAGTACACGATGTCCCACTAGGTAGTGATCACTTCCCCATAAACATAACCATAGGAGATACAAACGTACCAATACAAACAGAAAATCAAGAACCAAAATACCGTTATAACCAAGCTAACTGGGACCAATTTCAAGTGATCTGCAATCAGGCTAATTTAAACGAATAAGAAAATAATGATCCAGAAATCTACTGTAAAAACCTTACAGATTACATAATAAAAGCAGCCAAAACCTCCATTCCTTTTAAAACAACTAAAACAGGCAAACCTACAGTACCATGATGGAACGAGGAAATAGAACAAACTAGACGTAAACGTAAATCAGCCTTCAATAAAGCCAAACGCGACTATAAACATCTACAAATAGCTCATGAACTAAACCACCAAGTTCAAAGTCTAGTCAAAATATCTAAAACTAGAAACTGAAAAAAAATTCTGTGAAGAAATAAATAACTGTACAGACGCCAGAACGATCTGGCGCAAAATCATCGCCATTAGAGGCTTAAAACGTCATAAAAAATACCTAACATTAATAATTCAACAAACCCCGCTGAAAAGGCAAATAACCTCGCCAACCACTTTTCAGCCGTAAGCAGTAACAACAACTTTAGCCAAAATTTTCAAGATAAACAGAGGTAGAGATGAGCAGAGGTAGGTACAGACAAATAAAGAAACACTATCAGGGAAAATCTGGGGTTCAGCGTTATCAAACACACATTGATAGGAATCACTTGTCAGGGATAGATTTAGCTGTATAAAACATGCACAAGTGCAAACTATAATTGAAAAATGCAACCAATAGTTATGCACCAAGTGCATGTTCAAACCATTTAAATTTGTGTGTGACTACCTAGTCTCAGAACACACTCAATATCTCTAAGCTTTATTTACCATACTATATCTGCCCCTGTGTTATGTGTAATTCATGACACAGTCTTTGGAGATCTTAAATTCTACTTATTTTTATGGTTTATACATCTGTGTTTCAACTTTGATAAATCTATGGGACCAGGATGCAACCTGCTTTCCATGTCAACATGCACCTGGTGTTCCTTGAATTGATCCTGCAGGCTTCTCACCAGCCTAAGATGTGCAACTCTGCACGCCACATTGTGGCAACTTAAAATGGGCCATCCTGCCCCACCAATATATCAACATGTTTTCATTATGTTTTAGGATTTGGTTTGGTTTGTTGTTTTACGCCACACTCAGCAATATTCCAGCTATATGACCGTGGTCTGTAAATAATCGAGTCTGGAACAGACAATCCAGTGATTTACATCATGAACATTGATCCACGCAATTGGGATCGATGACATGCATCAACCAAGTCAGCGAGCCTAACCACCCGATCCCGTTAGTCGCCTTTTACGACAAGCATTGGTTGCTGAAGACCTATTCTACCCTGGATCTTCACGGGTCTTATGTTTTAGGAAGCACTGGTACAGGGACTGGTTAAGTAGACTGAAGATACCCTTGAACATGTTGAAAGCACTAATAGGCATGATAGGTACACTGATCTCATATTTCAATAGTTTGTTTCTACAGATTCTTTATCATGATTATCATTGCTTATCAATTAACATTGCATTTATAAATTGAAAGTACAAAGAACAAGAAAAAGTAATTAATAATATCAACATGATAATTATCTGAAATTAATCTCGGGTTAAAATGCTACAACATTATTTGCAGAAACTAGAGAGTGAGCAAGTTGGGTTTAACGCCGCTTTTAACAGTATTCCAGTTACCGGTATATCACGGCATGTCAGCTTGATGTGTGTGTGTGTGGGGGGGGGGGGGGGGGAAGCCTGCACGGAAGCAGGTCATAGATGTTTACCACTTTGGTGAAAATAAAAAAAGACAGGAGCCACTGCTTATCTTTGGAGCAGTTTTGCTTCTCTTTCTTACCTCTGCACTTCTCATAGGCCTTGCAAAATGTGTATGTATGCTGCCAACACTTAATTTTTAACTATTTATGCTCCTGTTATTGGACCCACAAAACTGTAAGCATGAAATCTTTTCTTCAGTGTGTAGGACTAGTTCTGTAAAAAAAATATTACAAAAAAAGAAATTAAAGAGTACAACATTGGGATCATTTTTGAAATTACAAGAATGATTTGTCTGTAACTACTGTAGATTTACATGTTACTGTCAAAACACAGGGAATGATCCAAATTTTCCTTGTTGACAAATACGGAAAAACACTCACTTTACATAACATGTGCAATGACTGTCAGCTTCGTTATTTCTGATAAGGAAGTCTATATATATATATATATGTGTGTGTAGGCCACTTGTTGACAACATTGTCCTTGACATAATACAAAACATGCAATGGATGGCATTAGGCCTATCACATAAATTGTTAATCACACGTGAAGGAAAACAATCAAACTGACAGCAGAGCGACACGTGTATCTCAGTATCTGCCATGTTTAAAATAATGTCTCACATAAATGAAGTAGCAGGCATCGAAGCTTCAAAGACATTGAATTTTCTACAAAGAATCTATTGTAATCAAATAACATGTTGTCGTCACGTGTAGCTACCCTATGCAAAACAATGTACACAATGCAGGGCTGGAGGATATTTAGTCACACGGAAGCAAATAATGTAACGTCTTATTGTGTCGGAGATACTTACTTCATGATGTTGAGTACATTCCGACATGTAGCAGCAGGCCTACCCTGCGTATTTGCCAAGTTTCATCTTCCTTTGGGTCCATCTGTGGCCGAAATATTGACCATGACCGGAGGACTTTGAAATTGCCGCGAAAATGGCGGCCACGAAATTCCGAACAAATGTGACGCTTTTGACAGCTCGTTTTTTGCCGTCCTTGTACGGGTTTACGGAAAACACCGGACAATGACGAACATTTACGAACGTATAGGGAGCGGTTATTGACTTATCGACGTTGAGGCAAATGTTTCATCAAAACTGTATATGTCATGTATTACGGAACAGTATAATTGTATAAAATATGATTTAGTCTTTATGTATCTTGTTATAAAATGACATGAATGTAGATACAATGTCAGATGCGGATAATGAAAAATAGTATTTACTGAACACTCACTTTACGATAAGGAAATGAATGGCGACCAAAACAGAAACACAGATGTCATTTGACAGTGTCAATAGCGAACGTTCCACGATTAATATGCCAGGTCAACTTCCAATGTTAAACGGAAACAACAGAATAGATCACAACAAATGTCGGTACCCCCACTGCATTGTGTGGACACCGATACCTTGTATAACGTAAGTGGAATGAACAATGACAAACAAATTGCACTCGTTCTATATAGTCTTTGTCGGACATAGGAACTCGATGATAGCGTATCTAGCGTAATAGACATATAGAAAAAAATGTGTTATCATCATAAGGATTAGTGGACAAAATCAGAATTGTCAGTATATGCAACATGCATTAACCATCTTGATAATTTTAATAATCTAAATATGCATGCTTTCTATATTGTCCCGAAGGATTTGTAATATAGATTATTTGTGTCCATTCTCAATCTGACAGTGGTCTAGTGGTAGAGCGTCCGCCCGGGGAGCGGCAGGTCCAGGGTTCGATCTCCGTCCGCGTCATACCAAAAGACATTAAAAGATGGTACTTTTTGTTACCCTGTCTGGCGCTCGGCATTAAGGGGCTAAAACAAGGACTGGTCGGCTCGGATTCGGTATACTGTGTCTGAGTGGGGTATTCATGTTAAACTGCGGCATGGTATCTCAGTGAGCTAGCACTATAAATCGGCATCAGTCCGTACTAGTACAAGCAGCCACACACACACACATACATGCACGTCGCTATATAAGTGCAACAATCTTGGACGCGACATTAAACCCCATTTCACCTCACCTCACCTCAATCTGACAAATGTTATATTGGATAACACTTCCTCAGTAAAGTACAGATTCTGCTCATATTTAGGGGTTGAGTCCCATCCAGGATTTGAACACACACTACCAGAGTGGGGCACCTAATCGCCAGCAAACAAAGTCAGCGATCTAACCCAATCAGCCACCGAGGCTTCTTCACTTATCAAAGTACTTGTGTGTTGGCGAATATGTGCCTCAATCTGGCAGTGTAGGTTCAGATCGGGGCAGAATAGTAACTGTTCTTCTTCTGCTTGCCTGAAAAGGCGACTATGCTTGTCGTAACAGGCGACTAACGGGATCGGGTGGTCAGGCTCGGCGACTTTGTTGATGCATGTCATCGTATCTCAATTGCGTGGATCGATGCTCATGATGTCATTCACTGGATTGTCTGTTCCAGACTTGATTATTTACAGACCACAATCATTTAGCTGAAATATTGCTAATTGCGGCGTTAAACACAGACAAACAAACAGTGTGGGTTTGAAACCCTGATGTGACTCAACTAGAATCTGTACTTTACTAAGAAAGTGTTATCCAAAATATAACATTTGTTACATTTGACCACTTTCTAAATGGCATTGTGTTTTCATTCTTAATGTATATTGGACAAAGATGGAAAATTTTGTGAATGGTAAAAATGGTTATCCTAGTTTGAACAGTTCTGTCAGTTTCTTATTTCCATTCGATGCTTTTCGATAAGGTATATTCCAAACATTAGAACCAGTAGTGTACCAGTGGCACATAACATGTTTCCAATGATAGGCATAAAGATTGACATATATATCACTTTGTTTGAGCTGTTTTGCCTTATAAACATGATAATAATAAAATAATGAAAACTAGATGTGAAACTAATGACATGGTCTATGGGTTATCTTAAAAGGAACCCTTCCCACATTTGTTTTCAAAGTATGTGCGAGGCCCCTACGCAGTAGGGAATTGGACCAGAGTACTGTACTATAAGCAAGTTTGTACAAGTGATAATTTTGATTCTTTCTTCTTCAGGTGGCTTTTCCCATTCATCGGACACATGGGAATTGCAACGACCTCCGGTGTCATTCGAGACTTTGCAGGACCATATTTTGTTTCAGTATGTAATTGGAAACACTCAATTTTGATATATGTGAAGATACAAAATGCAACATTCTTGTTGACAAGGATGATAGATAAAAAGATTAATCTAGCCAGTGCACTCCCCTAAAACAATAATGGGTACAGGTGCCCCAGTCGTCTAAGTGCTGCAAATCGATGTGCAGATTGGTGTGTCCCCTAGTTGTTTTCCTAAAGCGATCTTAATACTAAGGTGATTGAAACCTTAACATAGACTTATGACCGTTGTATAGCTAAGGTATTGTGTACAACAGTACCCATGGTGCAGTTGTACAAAGTGATCTTAGCGCTAAGTTGATTGTAACTCCCATACATTAACATAGACTTACGACAGTCGTAGCGCTAAGGTTGTTTTGTACAACGGTACCCAGGGTGTTGTTGTACAAAGTGATCTTAGCGCTAAGGTGATTGTAACTCCCATACATTAACATAGACTTACGACAGTCGTAGCGCTAAGGTGATTGTAACTTCCATACATTAACATAGATTTACGACAGTCGTAGGGCTAAGGTTGTTTTGTACCACAGCACCCTGAGAAGTAAGACAAAGGCTGGGAAGTCCTGTGGTATTTGAGAAGGCATGGTAAAGTCAAGTTGTGTACTGGTCGGTGCTTGTTACAATGAGGAAAAGAGGAAAAAACTGTTACTGTAACATTGGATGTCAATGATTAGCGTCGTGTCATTCGAGTGAGTGAGTGGGGTTTAACGCCCCTTTTAACAGTATTCCAGTTATATCACCGTGTGTGTGCCTAATGTGGGAGAAAAGCCCAAAGTGATGAAGGTCAGACATTTACCACTTCGGTGAAACACACGAGCACCGGTATGGTGCTGACAAACCTCGAAACATAATCGGGGAGAACTGGGATTCGAACCCACACTCATAGGTTTCTGGCTGCCCAAGGGACGCAACTCTGTGCAGCGAATTGCAGCGCTTCAGATGACTGGGCCACCCGTGCCCCTTCGTGTCTTTTGATGCAGACTCAAATACAAGGCATGGTGTCAAAGGGGTCCAGTGGATTATCATAATGGAATGGAGATTTAAAGGAGATGTACAGTAAACTATAAATATGGGATTAAATAATTTATATGCATTTTAAAAGAAGTATCTCAAAGAAAAAAGAGCTCGTGGTTAGTCAAAATAGTCTTGACAGCGCCAAGGAAGATGTACGGAGTGAGAACGTTCAGTCTGATGTGAAAAAGGAAACTAGGAACACAATCTGGTGTTAAACGCTATCCTGACATTTCTAAATAAAATGGATGTTTATCAATAAAAAATATTTGTAAGACAGTTATTCTTGTGTAAAATGTGCCAGGGGTATATCAACACTTACCAATGTCAAATCATTTTCCATTGTCGTTATTGTGTTATTTGTCTTCATGCAAAACACTTAGCATAGGGCTTAAGCTGGATTTAGTTTCTATACAAATGAACGTTATGTGTTAATTGTATTGTCCAGTGATGGTTGGTTCAGTTAACACTGCGGTATAAACAGTTGTACGTGTAGAGGGATACATGTATTGGTGGCTGGCACTGAGCCTACTACAATGACTTCGCTCGTCTTGTCGGGCGGTGGGGTAGCCTAGTGGTTAAAGCGTTCGCTCGTCACGCCGAAGACCCGGGTTCAATTCCCGACATGGGTACAATGTGTGAAGCCCATTTCTGGTGTCCCCCGCCGTGATATTGCTGGGATATTGCTAAAAGCGGCGTAAAACATACTCACTCATTCATTCACTCGTCTTGTCCAAAAGCATCCAGCATTATGATATGGACTACAAGCGACACATGTGAAGAATGAAATTGACAAAGTCAATTTATTTAACAAATAAATGAACTAAGACTGACCATATCACACTAATGTTACCCATTACATAATAATTTCTCTCAAAATGTACACCAACTTCACATCTATCATTGTTTATCTAACCTAAAAATGTTTTTTTTCATACAATAACTTACCGTATTTTCTTGAGTATAGTGCGCACCCGAGTATAATGCTCACCCCCCTCTAGCGGATTCAGTATATTTTTTGTAAAAAGAAATTCGAATATTTTGTGCTAAAAAAATGACACCGTACCCCTTCAGCGAATTCCAGTAAACGAACGGGTGATGAGAAACTTGGTCAGTACAAATTTAAAATGAGAGTTAAAAAAATCACCAGACATGTTGATTTACCGTTTAAATTGTTGTTGTTTTTCTCGTAAACTAAGTCAGAAACAGCAATCAGCTGTACACACGTTTCTTGGAATCTACTGGTGATTCCGTCAAGATACACCCAATGATATAACTTTGCAGGATTTTAATGCACACATGATGCAAGCATCGGCAAAAATTGTATCTGAAACTTCTTGTTTTTATCAGGAGTGATATATTCCAATATCTTGTTATTTTATTTGCAGCTTTTACTAAATATATTTAAAATAATTATAACCCTAAGTGAAACAGCTGATCGCTATTGCCAGTATCCTAAGTTTGTTTGTGTTCAAAACCGCGTTTCGTCTCTTCAATATGGCGAAATAACGGGGAAAATATAAATAAATGTCGATAGTTTTCAGTGTATCATTTTTTTATGGATTTTAGAGTTGAATTAAACCTTGGAACTGAACTTATGTTTGAATGTGATAACCATAACAACAAATAAAAAGTAAAGTTTGAGATATGACTGATTTGTTTTTTCTTTACCCTAATAATTTAAGAAAAAGAAACTTCCACATTACCATGTGTAAATTACTACCACTCGTGATCAAAAGAAAAACAAATTCGAACAGCATTGCATGTATTTTATTGATATGGCAACTTCAATCGAAACTATCGATATTCCAAAATGAAATCGATACTATTGATCGGAAACTGATTTAACAGTCGATTTATTCACTTTAAGTGCTTACCAATAGCAATATATCGATATTTCGATTTATCGTGACACCCCTAACTAAAAGTTGGGGGCATTAGTGGCCCAGTCATCTAAGGTCCGCAATTCACTATGCAGAGTTCTGTCCCTTAGGCATGCCAGGAACCTATGTTTGTGGGATCAAATCCCAGATTCACCCTGATTATGTTTCTAGGTTTGTCAGCACCATACCCGTGCTCGTGGGTTTCACCAAGGTGGTGACAGTTTAAGAAATCTCATCAGAACCATGAATCAGGAACCATTTTGACTTTACCATGTCAGGTAACAGCTGATCACACACACGCCAATTACAGTACAACTTTGAAACAGAAGGTCCCATGCCATAGTAAATAAAAAAAGTCATAAGCACTTATGGTTTACTAGTATCAATTCCGGTACACGCCAAATGCAGTGCAACTTTGAAACAGAAGCCTATGTCCCAAGCTACCTAAATAACAATGTTACGAAAACTTCCTGCTTAATGTGGGAGGAAAGGCGGAAGTGATGTTGGTGTCAGACGTTTACAACTTCGGTGAAATCCACGAGCACGGGTATGGTGCTGACAAACCAAGAAACATAACAAGGGCAAACCGGGATTCGAACCCACAATCATAGGTTTCTGGTACGGAATTCTGAACAGCGAATCGCGGGGCCTTAGACGACACACAGACACACACACACACACACACACACACACACACACACACACACACACACACACACACACACACACACACACACACTCACACAAAGCCTTTTCTGATACAAGTATAGAAATGTACATTTTGAGGCAGGTTTTAAGGTAAATAAAGAAGGCTTGACTGAACTAGAAATGGGAATATGTTATTAATTGTTGTTCCGGTGTCACGAAATATATTCGCCCCCAGAATAAAATCTGCCCCCGGCGAAGTTATACCGGTACAGTCCGCCCCTCTCGAAATAAACTCTCCCCCACCCTACGAAATAAAATCTCCTCTCCCCACCAAAACACCAAAACACTTCTGATAGAGACGATGTTGAGAAAAGGGCTTCACTTTGAGCACTGTCTTTTCTTTAACTACCGCAATATGAGACAATAAAGTGGTATATAGGTAGAAATAAAATTAGTCGTTAGATATAAAGAATGTTTAGTAACTTAAGAAGTTCTAGGATAGTTATTAACACGTGTCGTGTCAGCCCTATGACATTCGCGATTGTCCACTTCCAGAAAACATCCTGTGTTGGTTTAACATGAATTAGTAAAGGTTAATTAGGGATGCCCAACACGTTAATTAATGAAAGACGAGTAGTCAAAACACTGTCATTTCCTGCCCAGGACATCACACCCTTACACGCTAAGGTCGGTGAGAAACATTCTCTTAAAAAAAACACAGTCAAGACTGTAGATTCCCGGCGTCTAGCTACAAATCCTGTGATGTATTAAAGGTTGAAGAATTTTGATCTCAACACCAAAAAACGCAAACTCGACACATCCACTCCATCTCCATCGCCCACACCCTCCCCTGCTGCCTTCCTCACCACCTTCGCCCTCTACTTCTTCTCCGCAGGTTCAGGCACCACACTCACACACCAACTTTCAATAGACAAAATAGGACTCTGGTTCAAACGAGAAAAGATAAACTACAGCAACATTAAAAAAGCCAACAAAGGATACCAAATTATTTTCCCTAACCAAGAATCCTTAATGGCAGCCAATAAAATAAGTCAAATATTCCACGTTACCGTAATCAAACAAAAAACCAAACTGGCAGCAATACACACGAGGCGTAATTAGAGTCAATCCAAGTAAAAAAACTGAAGATTTAGAACTTTACTCCCTAGAAGCAAACATAAACCAAGACCTAAACCCTCAACCTCAAATCACAAGTACCCGCAGAATCACCTCAACTAGAAATGGAAAAACGGTCCCAACCTCAATTGTTATCATCAACTTCAAAAAGACCGCTAGATTTCCCGAAGCCCCTAAACACATATCTTTCGGAGACAACCCTTACTTAGAAGTCAAACCCTATATAAAACAGGTCAAACAATGTTCCAACTGCCTCAAATAAATTCACACAGCCTCCCAATGCACATTTCAAAAAACTAAATGTAAACAATGCGCACAAACAGACTGCCCAGGCACATGCTCAGCCTGGTGCATCTACTGCAAATCTATCAAACACTTCTCACTTTCAAACCAATGCCCACACAGACACACCCTC